CACAGCAGACCCCTTGGCCGAAGGGAAGCAGGGGAAGACTTACGGGGCTTTCACCGCCTCCTGTCTCCTTCCCCTCACTCTCCCTCCTCCCCTGAAACCTGCATCTGGACCAGTTAAAGTACGGATTTCAAGACAAAGGCCTGATGTGTATTTGAAAACGTGAGGGAGGCAATGTTTTTAGCTGAAGGCCAAAGTTCTGATGAAGAAATACTAGAAAGAAATAGAATAAACAGTAAAAGTAGAAAAATAGAAAAATTCTAGCAGAGGCGTAGTGGATAACAGCGGGGCACTGAATATATTATGAATACAATGGAAATACCTTCAGCAGTTACTCAACTCTGTGTTAAGCCCTGGATCTCCTCAGTTAGGAGTTAGGGTATACCCATATTGTTCTGTTCATTTTTATTGCCCCCCCCGCTACACATGGAAAGCTTTTCCTAGTGTAGTTTTTCCATCATCTCCTTTCCCAAACCCTAGCAATTTATGAAATGTTTTGGGAGCAGTGGAAGGGAAGACAGCAACCCGCTCTTGTAAAGTATATTTCAGCCTGTGTTTTAGAAACAGGCTGCCTCTGCCACACTAAACATGGGTTGTGCTAAATCTGGAATTCCTGGGATGGGCTGGAGGAAATGGTGACTCTCCTTGCAAACCAAATACTTACAATGCAAAGCAGGTTAGGGGGGAATGCTCTTTATTTGATATTTCTATTGCCCTGCTGCTCTGCAGTGACAGCCTTTCATTGCCTTTGCGTGGTAAATCCTGCTAACCCGAGCCCTTGAGACTTGCAGGCTCAGTAAGAAGCTCTGCCTGCTCGGGGACTGATGGTAAATGTGCAGACTTAACATCAGAGGAACAGAGTCATTGCTGGGAACCAGCAGTGGCTTACATAGCTGATCTATCTTCAGACATACAAAACCAGCACAAGCTTCAAATGTACATGAGACCCAAGTCCTGCAAAATCTCCTGAAAGTATAAACAGAAAACAAGAATTGCTAATTCTGTTAAGTGGCAGTCTTTACCATAAAGCATTGTTGGACTTAAAGCTTTTACTTGGGAGGTAACTCCGATTGAGTGAATTTCCCCATTAAGTACACCCTGATGAAATGGAATACGCTGTGTTTGAGCCTGCCATCCCGTGGTTTCAGTGGCTTACCCTCTTCTCTCCAGGCTCCTCACTCCTGTCTGAGAATGGTCTTTGGGCCATCCATGTGACTTCTCTTGAAATAGACCGTATGGCTGCAAGCGGGTCGGTAGCAGGCCAGTCAGCTTGGTGTGACATATGACCAGGAAAGAAACCCCATTTGATGTGGAACACAGTTTAACCGTGGTCTATTTTAGGAGCATGGAAACATTTGTTCCACAGAAATATATCCCTGTTCCAGTTACAACGAATCCTCAGCTAGACCAATGCTGGTACACTTGAACAGTCAGTATAAACAGTCTTGCTGGTTTTCCTTTAATATGATATTGTGGATTATGAATGACTGTGGGTCTTTAGGTCTGTAGTTAACTTCAGTGCCGGCTATATGTTACAGCTACTCTCTTTGTGTTCCCTACAGCAGATCTACAGAATTGGGCTAACGAAGTGTGCAGCCAAATAAAAGGAACAAAGGTAAACTCAAAGATGCTAACATTTTCTCTCCGATTTATGTTTTCCTCATTGCATTCCTGACACCCCTCCTGAAGCAGGCTCCACGTTAATGTTTGGCTAAAAAGCAAGTTTTGACTTCCTCAAAAAATGCTTGCAGCTTTGGCTTTTTCAGTCTGGTTTTCTGTAAATGTGAGGCGTATGAAATCACCGTTCTCAAATAGCTTCTGAACCTGCTCTCTGGTTTCAGCCAGTTTTAACAGTGGTAAAAGTCTCTGTGATGATTAAATATTTATGAGGAGAAAGTTAAACACGAGCCCACTGGTTGCTGAACACCTGAGACTGCCTAGGAGAGAGCTTTTCTAAATCCTAAGAGCAGGAACAGCTTAGTTGCGTTTGCACCTTCTTACATACCAGAGTCCTCACAGGGGAGAAACCTGGATTTGGGGCAATGCCAAGAATGCCAGACATGCAAGGCATTAAGCACAGAGCCATCAGATGAAGAAACTGGCAGTGAGACCCCTTACTTCTGGTGCTTGCAGAAATCCCTCTTGTCCGTTCGGCTGTGAAAAAAGTAAGGCCTTCCAAGGGGTTTTGCTCCGGAACAGAGCATACTTGAAACACTTAGATGGGGGCACAGGTTCAAGTTCATGTGCACTGCCTGCTTCATACCATGGACGTGGACTGAGATCCTAGGTGCACGCTCTCCCCCACCACCCCATCTAGGAGTTCTGTCTAGCTTAGCTATTGAAAGTCTCAAATTCCATTGCAACAATGACAAAAAAAAAACCCAAAAACCAAACCCACCTTTTTGAGCAGGCAGTTCCTCTTTTGTCTCATAAGTGTTCATGCAAGCTCCTGCATTGGCAGCTGCTCAGATCCTCCAGGACAGAGGAGGGAATCAACAGCAATTAGTGGCTGGGAGCTTTTACACTCTCTCCTCCATCCTGGAAGATCTGAACAGATGCCAGAAATGAAAGGTAGTGGTTCCCAAATACCCATCATTACAGCATGACTTGCATGAACTGAAGGGAAACCTTGAAGTATTTCCCAACCCTTTTTTGTGGAGCTGCAACCAAAAATATAGCTATACTTTGATCGTGGGCCTTTGCATTTGTTGTCCTAACATTTTCCAGGTTAAAGCAACCTTGCCCATGTGACTTCATTTGTTTCTAGCCTGTCTTGGGCCCTCTGAATCAACCCCGTTTCTTTCTTTGATCATTACTGATAATAAAGATTCTGCTCCCAGTGAGGCCTTCACAGATCAACAGCCCTTCAGACACATAGATGATATGGGGTGTTTCCAAACCTTATAGCAGTTAGGTAGGTCTTATTGATGGTCCATAAGGAAGAGGAGAATCCAGTGACTCTTCTAGATTTATTAACTCTCAAGTGCCCTCTTAAGAACTAGGAATAGTCCTCTCCCAAAATTAAATGTTATTGCCCCCCAGGCCACCAGATTTTTTTTCTGAACACCCACTGAGCGCAGCATCACTGGTCACAGTTTCACAGCAGAACAGAATTACACTTCAACACTCAAATATAGCGGTGCTGTTCAACCTCAGCAGCTCCACACTGAGGAAGAACTGAGATCTGCCTGTTCCTTCTTTGTCTAGAAAATAACCTTCTGCTGATCTAGTTATTAAACACGTTTTTCTTTTGGCTTTCTTTCAGGAGCCCCCAAGGGATGCATTTGTTACCATGAATACCACGAACGCCGCTGTCCCCCAGACCTCTGAAGGCGTGTGTCTCCTGGGCCCTGGTGGCTCTCCCGCCCCTGGAAACTTGTGCTGCAGCAGCGCTCACGCTCCTTGCAGGAACGGGAGCCCTGGCATGGTGCCGTGCGAGGTGGGAGGGAGCCTCCAAGAGTTTTCTGTGGTAACTGAGACTGATGATGACCATTTCCCACCAGTTCCTACAGAAGATGAATACATGGATAAGGATCTCAATACCACTGATTATTTATCTTTACTGAGTCGGACTGCCAGTAAAACCATGTCATCATTTTCAGAACCAATGGAGGCTGGGGAGAACGACAGCTTAAATCAGTACTTTTCAGGGATTGGGAGCACAGAGGACATATCAGTCTCTCAAGGCTCTCACCCTTCCTCCAATATGGATGGGGCACACGCTGCCACAGACAAACTTCTTCAGAAATCTTGCCAACGTGCCCACAGTTGCCTGAAGGAAACAGGCAGCAAAGACACAGATCGTTTTGCAACAAACTGTGACTCGGAGAAGATCTGTGTGAGGTGTGGCGCTTTGTACAGGGAATGCCACAGAAAGTGGAGCAAACCCTGTTGTGCTGCGGCTGACAATGCCTCCACCTCCCCAGAAACTGGATGCTATGCACAGTGCACCTGTGGCTTGAATTCTTTCTCTGCTGGTCAGAGCAGTCTAGCCAGTGATCATGGTATGGAAGATGCATCTTCAGATAGTACCAACATGAAGTACCAGAACACAAACAGAAGCGCTTCAGGAACAAACAGCAGCACTTCAGACCTCCCTCCAGCATCTGGTAAGCCCATTAGGCTTGACCTGTATGTACACAGTCGTATAGGATTATTCTCTGTGCTAGCTCAGTATTATTCAGAGGGTCTGATTTAGGAGGAGGAGAGAAGAATAAAATGATGCCTTTTCACTTAATTGCCCTGAAAGTAATCTGAAAGACAAAAATGAAATAGCAAGGCCGTTTGGTTTGTAGTGAATTGTGCAAGTAGGATGAGCACTGTGAGGGACCATTGTCCTGCCCTGATCTAACCAGCAACGCGGAACCCATCTGCTGGCTGTCGCTGCAAAGGCCAGTTACTGAAGGATTTTGGTGATAGCAGGTGTGTGTATTGGAGAAAACTTAGAAGGAGGAGAGCATGGGGACCTAGAGGCTGAGTCAAGAAAGGATGCATAAGGCTCAGACAGATGATATTCCATTCAGCAATCTGCAGGCACATTTTTGCCATTAGGTTTAAGTCCCGTTACATTTATATGGCAGTCAGTGAAACTCCAGCTGGAGCTGTAACCTGGTGGCCATGACTGGGTCTAAGAGATCATGTTCAATTTTTTGCTTTTAGCTCTTTTTCTTTGTTTTAATTTGCTAGGATATAAACATTCACCTAAAAATAATTTCATACAGACATTGTTTCTCCATACACAAGTGCTCTGTCCCTAAAACAACTCTGAAACACTGTCACCAATTTACTAATTGACTACCAATTTACTAATTGAGTAAATGTATCAAAATTGTAAAATGAAAGCAGGGAAAAAAAAATCACTGAAGCAAAACTAGCAGAAGGGAAGTTATGAGTCTTTTCTGGATGAAACCTTCCTCCCTCAGACTTTTTTTCAGTATAAAAGTCTGCAATCTGCCTGTCATGTGTTATTACTCATTTTAGATTATAATCTTTTAAAGTCAGATGCTCTTATTTTTACTTATGTCGATGCACTGCCAAGCGTAATGAGACCTTAGTTTTGACTGGGACATCTAAGTATTCCTGTAATACATACGGCAGTCGTAAGCAGTTGCCCTTCTTTAAAACCATGTTGTGCCTTAAAGTTTCTTACGGAGACATTCTTGTCAGTGTGCCAAAGCCCAAAAGCAACACTTTTGAAGGCCCTTCCCCTTCCCCTCTCAACATGCATGTCGTGTGGGAGTCTGAAAGTGTGTAGCATTCATCTTTCTAAGAGCAGATACTCATTCTGCTGCTTCAGTTTCCTGAAATCCTGACACAGTTTCACTGCCTGGTCTGTACAAAATTCAGCAGTAGTAAAGAGAACACAGATTATCTTTTTTTGTTGTTGTTGGAAGGTGACTCTGAGGTACAACTGAAAGTTGTATTTGGCACTGCAGAAGTACTGCTTTTCTTTCTAAATCTGACGCAAAGAGGAAGAGAAAATATTAAGGAACAATAGGGCAAACAGAAGAGCTTGGATTTACGTGATGGGCTAGAAAGTGCCATCTTAGATTTGCAGCACAATTCTTTAGATGGGATTTTAATTGCATCTGTGCCTTCCAGTATGTACATGCTATAGTGCCATCTGGTGAAACCTGAGCACAGATACAGCATTCCTAATTTGCCATTTTTTAGGCAGGGCTGCCAGCAGGTACTGACTGAGCTGTGGGCAGTATGAGAGTGTAGGTTAGTTAATCTGTAGGTAACATAGCCTGTTGGCAGAGTTTTTTTTTCTGTCCGCAGAATGGCCGTGCTCCGCTGGTGACACCTGGTTGCATGAGGAGTGAGACAGGGCTTAGCCATAGCTTCCACACTGAAGCACCCCAGCTGCGCTGGGGCTGCGCGTGGAGCAGCAACACGTCGGTCATTTTGCTGGGCCTTGTGAAACGCCCATGTGGAATAAATGTGCACGCAAAATAACTTTCTGTAAAGCTTCTCAAAGCAACTGAAGCCACCTGGCTTTGCACATAGTCATGCTAAGACAGAATGGTACAAAAGAGGGTGGATATAAAAATGAGGAGAAAAAGGCTATGGGTAATTCCATGACGTTTTAGGTTTAGTTCCCTAACACTCAGAATGACAACAGAAATTGCAAACTCTGTCCCTCCTGTGAAAAAACCCTAGCGTAGACCAAAGTAGACCTCTGGGCAGGTGGCACTTACAGGGGTCACCACCAGAGATGGAGGTAAGCCTTCAAGCGCTCTTTCAAACCCCCCAAGCCTGGAGGCAGTCAGAACATGAAGCATCGGTTCATGACCACCTCAAGTCATGTGTAAGGGGCACAAGCATAAAGCATGAGTGCAGGAAGACTCAGGTGACGCACAATTAGGAATGGTTTTGCAGAGCCTTTCACTTCCAGATCCCAAACCAGCCCACTTTGGCAGAAACAAAACAGTTCTTACCACCTAGAGGCCATTAGATAGCTCAGAGAAAATTAATTGCCTGTGTTGTTCCAGTTCTTAGTGAATAATTACCACAAAAATTAATCTGTCATGGTAATTAATATATCATCAGGTAGTCTGAAGAGATCAAAAGGCTGAAACATTGCAGAGAACGATGCCTTCACTTATCCTCTGAGGGTGTCCCTTATACTTTCCAGGTTGGAAGCACATCTCTTGTGTCTTTTGTGTCCATTTTCTGTGCTTTTGGGCCTCAAATAACCTTTTGTTTCAGCGCAATGTCTTCAGAAAGCAGTGAAGAGTTGCCAGCCACATTCAACTAAACATTATAAATGTGTTTATCTGCCTTTTTTTTTTTTCTCTCTCCACTGTCACATATATTTCTAAATTCTTGATCTTGTACTGAGCACTGGTAAACTTTTCCACAGTAGCTTTTGTGAGTGACAGGCAATCTGTGTAAAGGCAAACAGTGATTTTTGTACTCCCATTATGCCTAACAGTTGTGTTGATTGCAAACCACCAAACTGAATCGAACACAGGGGAAACAACCGGCAGGGAAAAAACTCCCGCAGAGAAAACTCGTATTGACACCTCATGTTAATCAACAACACTTGGAAAGAAAGCAAAGAGCTAGCAATGCAGTGGTTTAGCTAAAATAAATAGGATTGCTTGAGGGGGACTTTAGAGAGACGCTGAAGTGCTACCCAGACTCGGTTATGAGCAGGCACAGGTCCTAACTCAGCACAGCTGGAGCCCAGTGTCCATTGCTGATGTGCAAACATCACCCGTGGCTGCTAGAAAAACAGCATTTCTCTGGGCTGGGCCATGCTTAGCTGCCATGAAAATAGGAACATCTCAAGTGTTGAGGAACGTAATGAGGAAAAGCACAAAATGTCTAAAAGGTGTCAGATCAGTCTGCAAGTGATGATTAAGTGAAGCACAGCAGGAAAAACATTTCTTGGGAAAAGTGTTTATAGGCTAGGAAGATTTTTTTTTTATACTTGGTTGCTTCAGTTTGTTTAATTTTTGAACTTCAGTAAGTTTGTTAGTTTGTTGTTGAAAGCTTGCTCTCACTTATTGTCCTTCTGCTCTGAGGGAACTTTATTAATTCCCAGAGTGTGGTCCTGCTGTCACTTGAGTCAGTGACACAGTCCTTGAATGGCAGAAAGATTGAATTTATACTGAAAAATCTCTAACTGCAGGCAGACTGACTGAAACTGTGACTCCGTTAGGTTGCTATAATATAGACTCTGTTTCTTCACTGGAGTCAGCGTATATCCAGGTAAATCCATGAGGGCACTAGGTGAGTACCGGAGTGTACCTACATGGAGGATCAGGACAATATAAGATAATCGTATAAGCTCCGTGTCATTTGGACACTGTGTGACTGTATGGTCTGACGCTAAGTCTTTCCGTATTTACAGTAAGCCTGCTACCTCGCCCACCCAGTAGGATTGATTGTTTACCAAAAGGGAAGAAAAACCCCAGTGTGATGCCTGGGACTCTAAAAAAAAAAATGTCATAATCAGAAATAATGACCATTTCCTCACAAACCATGGGCAGAGGCAGTTTGGACACAGCTTGTGCATCAGGCAGCACAGGGAGCATGAGATGGTCGTGCTCTCTCTTGCTTCCCTGAGCACGATTGAGAGAGAAAATGCTTCCAAGCCTTCCAGACAGGCTTCCTGTGGATGACGGGCTTCGTCCTGAGGAGGGAAAAACGGAAATAATGAAAAGGTCCAGTGGAAGGCATTGATTATAAGAGCATCCTCGTGTCATGGGGAAAAAAATAATGGAACAAGAGCCAAGCCACCAGCAGATTAAGTTCACTGCACTAAGCGTCCGTCTCGTGAGGGGAAAATATTAATCACGCGTGTTGTCTTTTCTCCCCCCTCCTTCCCCAGGAAATGTGACTGGAAACAGTAACTCCACCTTTATCTCAAGTGGACAAGTAATGAATTTCAAGGGCGACATCATTGTTGTCTACCTTAGCCAAAACTCCCAGGAGGGGGCAACGGCCTCGGGGCCGAGCGAGGAGAACGTGGGCAGCCCGGTGCAGGAGGAAAACCTCAGCCGCTGCGAGACTTTCGCCGGCAACGCCCAGCACTACAAGGAGAAGTGTGCCGAGCTGCAGGGCGCCTGCCCGGCGGCGGGGA